GGATCTCATCTTATTAAAATGCCTTTGCACAGCAAGAGAAACCATCAACAGAGTGAAGAGACAACCCACAGTGTGGGAAAAAGCTTTTCCAGCTGTTTCCCAAAGGACTACTATCTGGAATACATAAAAATCTCAAAAAGATCAGAGCCCCAAAATTTAAAGACCCAATCCAAAAATCGTCATCTGAGATGAATACACACTTCTCAGGTGAAGAAGTACGAAGAGCTAGTAAACACCTGGAAAAATGTTTACCATCATCAGTCACTCAAGAGATGCAAATTACAACAATGCTGAGATTCCATCTCACCTCAGGAAAAATAGCTATCATCAAGATATCAACCAATAACAAATGCTGGAGGGGTTGTGACAAAAAAGGAACTCTTTTTCACTGTTGGTGGGAGTGTAAACCACTGCGATCACTGTGGAAGTGAAAGGAACAACTGAGATGAGGGAAAGGAGAAAAGAAAGAAAGGAGGAAGGGAAAAATATATGTATGTACAGTGATATCTGGCATAATTGTACTGCTGATGTCTATTGGTTTGTTGAAAGGAATAGTTAATGCTTAAATTCTTTTTCTTGACCTATTTTGCATGCTTATATCTGGTAATCTGAACAAGTAATTTGAAGAGAACAGCATGCAATATAATAACCATTGTTGAATTCCTACCATCTTGTTTAGTGAAGTTCTGTATCATTTCTACAGTTTTTTAAATTACTTTTTGTTCTCTTTAATTATTTGATCAATTTTGCATTCTTACATCTGGTAATCTGAGCAACTTCATTAAAGATAACAATATGTACTATAACAACAACAGTTAATTCCTATAAAAAAAGACTAGGACTAGAGTTTTCATTTGACTCAGCTAATCTCTATCTTTGTATCTTCCTGAAAGAATTAAAATCATACTACAGTGAAATATAGCACAATCATGTTTACAGGGGCACAGTTTGTTATAGCCAAATCTTAGAAACAGCCCAAATACCCATCAACTGGTGAATGGATAAAGAAGATGTGGTTTTTTAATAAAATGGGGTACATTCTGCCATAAAGAAGAATAAGCTTGAGATATTTCTAGGTATGGATTTACCTGGAGACTCTTGTCTCAAGTGAAATAAATTGGACATACATGTGTAAATTTCACATTATTTCTGTGGTGTGAGAAACTGAAAGTGTTACTAAAGACCAAAATGTATAATAGATACTGTGAAATAGGTGGAAAGAGTTCAAATGGGAAAGGGAATAAGAGAGGGGGTGGGGAAAGGCGAAAAGTAGAAACAAAGTGAGGAAAGAAGGGAGAAGTGGAAACAAAGCCTTTGTGAATGGGGAGGAGAGAAGGGGTTGAAGGGAGTGTAGGTGGATGAGCGAAAAAGAAACAAGTTATATTATGTACAGGTACTAATTCTCTATGATGAATGTGATAACTATTTGTACCAATAAAATCTGACTGGAGAGAAACATCTTTCACTGCAACTAATATATTCAATCAGAGATATGTGTTGATTAATATGAATCCCCTTGTATATTTCAATAGTTTCTCTTCTTGCATGAAAGTAGCAGAATTGTTTAAATTATCAAATTTTAATGACAAAATTATCATGCTTATCTATTCAAATTTTCTTGTATTTATAAGATATTTTAACTTTATTAAAAACCTGTATTTACTTTATTCAGTTTTATTTAGAATTTTCTAATAAGGCAAATATGTGTTTTAGAAACAATTAGTCTATACATTCATTCAAGTTCAGTCTATCTTGGAAATTTTACTTCTTTGTCGCTTGGTTGAAACCCTGCAGGAATATGTGTATACAGTAATTTCACCTTTATTTTTGTTCCAGTCCCTCTGGATAATCACAGTTTTACTTTTCAAAATGAAACAGATATTTATGAAGATTAATGTGATGGACTGAAAATTGGCTACAGGAATTTGTTCACAGCACTTTTCTCTCATGTGTTGTTAATGTTTGTCTTAACCATAATTGTTTCTCTTTATCAAATTTTTCTGAATGATGTCTATTTTATTGGTTTTACACATAAATAATTACATTGTTTCTTTACCCTTGGACTTATGTGCAATATGGTTAATATTCTTACTCTCTAATATGAACTCTGTAATTCTGAATTATATCACATGTATGTTTATTATATTATCTCACTGACATGGAGGCTTATTTCATATGCTCGTGTACTTGCTTTTCATTTACTCGTCATAAAATGCTTCTTTTCTCATAGAGCAGACTTCTATCCTTTTTCCTTTCTCTTCCTAAATGACTCCCACCTCCTATTTTCTAATCATTGGTTGCTCCTTTCTCAGACCCTAAGGGTGATTCATCAGAGTGACTTTTGTTGTATACATTATCTCATATGTTTCCTACTTTTTCTTAGAAAAGGGACTCTCTCTCTCTCTCTCTGTATGTGTGTGTGTGTGTGTGTGTGTGTGTGTGTGTGTGTGTGTGTGAGATTTATAAAACTGAATTTCAATGCTGCCTTCTTGGCTAATGTCACTGAATCGGAATATTTGTGGCTGATAAAACCATCTGTTTTCTGGACATTTCATTCAATAGTTACAAATAAGAAGTTGCTTAGTTTTCAGGCATATATGACAGTTTATACTAAATTGCTGATGAATATAAGCAGGGTTACCATAAATATTTCCTATATAGTTTTTTTTTGTTCAAAGACAGAGAGATTGTTGTTATAGAGTTTATGATAGTGTTCTAGGTCAGTTTCATCCTGCTAAAATCTTCAACACAGGACACTATACTATTATTTATATCTTTCTCATTCTTTAATAACCTTTGCCTTCTTTAATAGCTATGCCAGGAGATATGTTATTAAATTATAGGTCAGCAGGACAATGGCTGGTTCTTTTTAAAAATTTAAATATAGAAAAATGCATGATTGATAATAACAACTAGGAAAATAATTGCTCAATTCATAATACCATGGAGCTTCACATTGCCCACATAAAAGAGAAGTGTTGGAAGATTTGATGAGATAAAGAAGAAGAAGGAGATGAGTAGCAGGAGAAAGAGGAACAGCACCAGTAGGAAAATTTAGGGTATTATACTGAAGAATTTCAACAACCCTGTCAGAAAGGGTTTTACATTATGAGAATATTAAAACTGGAATTATGAAATGTAAATTATTAGTTATAGCAGCTATGCCTCATAATTAAATTATATATATTCTGCCTTGGGGCTGTGACTCCATGCCAGAGCACTTGCAAATATGTAGCGAGTCCCAGGTTCCATTTGTAGAACTGCAAAAAGTAAAGAATATGTATTCTTCACAGTCACACAAAAATAATAACATGTGAGTTTGGGCTGGTCTCTTAAATAAGCCTCTCCACACAAGACAACTAACATAATAAAGTGAGAGTCCCTGTTAAATTTCTATGGAAATTCTATGTCATGTAAAAACTTGTATTTGCTGGAAGACTGCAGGATGTAAGAAATGGGAAGAGAGTGGGTGCTATTTAGAATAAGCACTGCTACAGATGCTCATATTTGCATTGACACTATTTTTATATTTTTAACATTATGGGAGATAAAGCCAGTCATGTTAATATGTGCCTCTAATCCCAGCACTCTTGGAGCTGAGGCATGAGACTGTCAGTTTGAATCCAGCCTTGGCAACTTAGTGACTTCATGAGAACCTACCTTGAAATAATATAAAAAGATTAAGGATGGAGCTAGGTATGATAGCTATGAGTTCAAACTCCGTTACTGAGAAAAAGATAATAAATTTAAAGCCATGCAATGCTGCACTTCTGAGTTTCCTAAGACACTCCATTCCATTTCATATTCTTCATTTCCTCTCAAGCGCTCTTCCTTTTTAGTGTTTCTTCTTCTGTGAGGCTCTGAATTTTATGAGTTCCTTCGATTTTGATGGTGGCAGGTATGTAACATTTACTGAGTAGAGGTTGAGGTGACTTAATTGCCAGCCTCCTGGTGAACCATAATTATCTCGCAGATGTTATACTTTCCTGGGTGTCACAGAAAATTTGCTTAGCATGATCCTTCTTCCTCTTGGTATTTCCACTTCATATTAATGTCATTTCTGTAATATACAATATTAAATTATATAACAATATGTGCAATTATTTCAGCTCTTGATAGAGGGGAATATTTGTAAAACCCACCCTAAAAAAATCTATTCTCTTCTTCATGATTTACTTTGAAAATGGGAACTTTTTCCTCTATGTAGATAGGTGGAAAAGAGCCTCTGAGACCCTAAGTTACGTTATTTATTTTAGGTAGAAAATCAAAACTTTACAGATCAGGCATGGTGGCACAGACTGGTACGGTAATGCCAACACTCAAAAGGCTGAGGTGGGAGGATCACCATGAGTTCGAGGCCAGCTTGGGCTACTTAGCAAGCTCAAGGCTAGCCTGAACTGCATAGCGAGACCCCATCTTAAAAAATTAAGGACTTATAGAATCCAACTCTTAGAAAAATAGATTAAATTTTCTGAGCACTTATCTTGATTTCAGATATTTCTGAGTGCTTATCTTGATTTCAGATATTGTCCTGCTCTGAAAAATGTACCACAAACTGCATTTTAAGATAACAGTTACTTACATGTAATAGTTGTGCAGGCTCAGGAGATTAAGACAGCACCTGGTCCCTAGCTTATGAGAGGCAGTGTGCCAAAGTGTCCTCGCATGACAGAAGAACGAAGCACTCTCTGTTCTTTTTTTTTATTTTAGAAATAAAAGGAGGAAAATACTAACAGACAGACAACATTTTCCAAAATAGCAAAGGATCAGTACAGACAGTACAGAGTTACAAACACACTGATATCATCTATGAAAAATTCACCCTCAAAATCTTTCTTGATCTAGCTTTCGAAAACAAACCCTAATGCCACCACATTCATGTTTAGAGTTTCTGCATATTTATTTGTGAGAGAGACACAAGCATTCAGTTCATAAGTGATAGTATACAGGATCTGACCATCAGAGACTTTTCCCTAAGGATCTCTATGCTCTCTATGCAGGCTTATACCCAAAAGCTACCAAAACATGCTGGCCTTCATTTTTACCATTGAAGAAATCAACAGGAATCCTCATCTTTTACCCAACATATCTTTGGGCTATGAGTCCCACAATTCCCTGCACAGTCACGGTAATACATTGCAGAATATCCTAATATTGCACACGGGACAGGATAAGATCCCTAACTACAACTGTGGGAGAGAGAGCAAGGCTGTAGCATTACTAACAGGAACATCAGCAGTAACAGCTGCTCAAACCGGACCACTGCTGGAGCTCTACAAGTTTCCACAGGTGACAGGGGAAGGGCGAGGTCGTTTTTCCTCTTTCATCCCTCTCAGGTCCCTTAACATGATGAAAAGAGGGGACTGGGTTCATGTATCACTCAATGTGTAAAAATCTCAAAAAAGTTCACAGAAATTAGTAGATTACCCAAACTTTCTTTGTCTGCAGCAGAGACGAGGGAGGGACAAAAGCAAAGAAGTTTCCTGAAACTCAAAGTCTGATCAGTTAGTTTTAAAAATAAAGCAGTCAGGAAATGAGATGATTCCGTAAAGGGGAGGAATAAGTATCTTTCCTTGTTGTTATTATATTTTGTATCTAACCTCTTGCTCTATGCCAGCTCTCCTCACATTGCTTTTGATTTTCTTTTTAGCTGACCTTTGGCTCTTTTGATCCGATCCTGAGTGAATATGGCGTTTCCTTCTCTCTATCAAATGGCTTCAAAGGATACAACTCTGGCCCTCGGCGTGGTCTCCTTGATGCTTCATTTCAGCTGGACCTGGGTGGGACTGGTCCTCACAGAAGGTCCAAAAGGGCTTCAGTTTCTGTCAGATGTGAGAGCAGAGATGGGTAGAAACAGGGTCTGTGTGGCATTTTGGAAAATAGTCAGTAGTTCTTCTCAGTTCTATGTATTCCATCCGCAACAACACAATTTCTTGATTAGGGAAACATCTTTAGTAAAGGTTGTTTTCATTTACTATGATACTGATAGTCTAAATGATGTAAACCATTATATAGGGCTACGGTTAGTGACAGGGACAGTCTGGGTGACAAACTCACAGTGGCACGCTGACCTGACTGGGAAAAAGTTTATACTGGACACGTTCCACGGGACCCTCATTTTTTCAAACCACCACGAGGAAATTTCTGATTTTAAAAAATTTATCCACAGAGTTAACCCATCCAGCTACCCAGAGGACATATTCCTCCATCAGTTTTGGTACTGGAGCTTCCATTGCTCATTATCTGAACCTGACTGTGTATTGAACTGTCCACCAAATGCCTCCTTGGCGTGGCTGCCTGTGAATCATTTTGACACGGCCATGAGTGATGCGAGTTACAATATATACAACGCCGTGTATGCTGTGGCCCACGCCCTCCACGAGATGCTTCTCCAACAAGTACAGATGCAACCAGTGAGGAATGGGGAAGGCATGGTGACTTCTCCCTGGAAGGTAATGTCTCTTCCACTAGATGGTGTGCACTGTCATCAAGGTCTGCTCTTAACAAGTTCCACATGTTCTCCGAGCAAGTACTCTAGAATCCTTTTTCAAAAATAAACAGATTCTGTACTAATTTCACTGTTTTTAAATTAATTTATAATAGATCACAATTAAATTAATCTTGAGGAAATCATTAAAATACACATCACATCCTGATCCATATTATTTTCCTTCCTGGAGCCTCTTCTCCCTCTATTTCCTCATATCCTCTTTCCATTTCCAGACTCTATCTTCCTGTTGCTTACCATCTATCTTTTCTTTCAGTTTTGTCATTGCTTGCAAATTGGGCCTCTCATTTTAGAGGTACAGTGCTCTACATTATTGAACCTACTGTGTCTGTTTTATTTCACCTAGTATTATATATGACCTCAAAATTCATCCATCTTCCTCCAAATAATACAATGTTGTCTTTATGGCTGAGTAGTATTCCATTGTGTATTTACAACACATTTTCTTTACGTTGGGCTACTATTGTCATTTGATTTTGAGGACTTTAAAGATATTTTATTATTTCTTCTGTGACCCATTGACTACTCAAGATTATTAATATCTATGTGTATGTGCAGTTTTCTATTGTTTTTTGCCCACTAATTTTATGGTACTATCGTCTGATAGTATTCATGAGACTATCTCCATTCTTTTTATGTCATTAAGGATGCTTTATGGCTTCAGATGTGGTCTATTTTAGAGCAATTTCAGAGTGCTGCTCAAGGAAATATGGAGTCTGTCGCTGGCTAAAACACTCTGAATATGTGCTAAGTATTTTTTAAAATGATACTTCTTTGTTGATTTTTTTGTCTGGTTGGCTGGTCAGTTTGCAAAAGTAGGGTACTGAAGTCCTTCCCTATATTGAAGTTTATCTGACCATTTTGTCCACTAGTATTGTTTTATGAAAGTGGTCGTGCCATCGCTGTTTGCATACATTTCAACAAATGTTCTCGCTTCTTTTTGAATGGCTCCCTTCACTTGTAGTGACTTTTTTTTGTCTCTTCTGATCAATACTAGCTTGAAGTCCACTCTGCCATAAAGTAGAGTAGTTATGCCTATGTACTTGTGGGCTCTCGGTTCATCCCTTCACTTTCAGTCTATGCTCGTCGTTCTGTTTGTTGATTTTTTTCTGGGGGTGTTTGTTTTTTGTTTTTGTGGAGATGTGTCATTGGCATGCAGCAGAATGGTTGACATTTTGTATCAAATCTGCCAGTCTACAGTGTGAGTAGAGAGTTAAAATTATTTACATGTAGAGCTATTACTGAAAAACTTTTACCAAATCTTTTAATTGCATTATGTTTCTGTCTCTGATTACTCTAACATTTCCCTTTTTAATTACTCATCCAATGAGATCTATTCTGTCTTGTTTGCTTCTTGGTGATATTGACCTCCTATCTGCAACTAGCAATGCTGATGACCACATTATGAATTTATTAATGTACTCTTTCTCATGAAAAATTTGTATTTCTCCATCAAATATGAGACACAATTTTGAAGAGTATGTTAATCTGGGTTAAAGAAGATTCTGTACAAACTGTTCTGCACTTTAAGGTTTTTGTTGAGTATCTGTTATTCTTGCCCTTATAAGTCACTTAATGTTCTTCTTTAAAAGCTATTGATATTCTCAATGTGCTGAATTTATGATTCATCATGTAAAATATCTCTTCTGGTTATGGCTCTTTGGGGTGCCCTATGCCAATTTTTCACCTGAAGGTGAATACTTTCCCTAGATTTTGAATTTTTTTCTGCTGAAATTTTGGTGAATAAGTTATTTATGTTTTTTTGTGCCATCTTTTCATCTGTCCTTAACTCCCATAATTCTTAGGATTTTGTTTTTCATTTGTTCTATTTTTAGTACCTGCATTACATAATGATCATATATATCATGGGGAGTTGGTACATGGACATGACACATCTTAATTCTCTCTTTTATGTTCATTCCCCTCTTTTCCTTCCCTCCTCCTCTATCTTTTGGTCCCCTTTCCTTTTGAAAAAGGTATATCTCCTTCTTTACTATCTTTTGTTTTGCTCTGTAGTTTATATTTTGGGTTTCTCAAGTAAGAAAATCATGTGATATTTAAACTCATGTGTCTAATTTATAACATTAATATTACTTTTTTTCTGCATTCTACAAGCTGTTTGATCCAGGTTGCATGTAAGGATCCGTTGGGTTCTTGCTGTACCCGGGAAGGAACGGCAGTGAGAATGAGGGGAAAAAGTAGACCAGAGACAACAAGCTGGGATCAGGTGGAGGTCCTCTCTCCTGAGCAGAGAAGGGGAACTGCCCCAAAACAGTGGAGTGTTTATTTATGCCCTCGAGAGGTTGGTTAAGTTTTGAACTCACTGAACATCATATGAATTTGTTCCTTCTTGGAGCTCTTCAAACACTTTATTCATTTAAATTTAAATTAATTGTCTGGAACTTCTTCCACCAATACCAATGAGGTCAACTTTTGAGGGGAGTACAGAGGTTTTAGAAGCATTTTCTTGACTTTTTTCTCATACTTCTATCATGTTGTTGTTATTGTTGTTTAAGAATCAGTTAGTGTAGAAAAATCTCTGCCCTACTGTGGACATCACTTTAGTTAGTGTATGTCTTCTTGTCATGTGATGTTGGGCTTGGTTATGTTTTGGTATTTACGTACCTCTTCAGTCGTCTCAACATAATCAAATCAGTCCTGGGTATTGCACTGCAAGGAGAGAGCCACTACTGCATGTTGACCTCTACAGTCATCCATGTATCAATCATGGAATTGAAAATTTGTTTTAATAATTTCACACTTTTTAAATATCCTAGATAATGATATAATAGTGCAGACAAGTGGACTGCAATATAAAGGATGAGGGAACAAAACAGGAAGAAAAAAGAAAGAGAACTGTTTAGAAAGAGAAAAAGGTGAAAGAAGAGAACAGCAAATACAAAAATGCATGAGACTTCACTGTTACTTTATTTCTGGAGGGGAGGACTGGCAGGAGGGAGTTTTGAGAGAATATTTTGGGGGACAGGAGAAAGAAGAAAGAGGGAAGTCACCCTAACTCTAACTGTGAGGGCATATTAATATGCTGACAGAAACCTTGTGTTCAAATCCTATACCCATAATTTTGGTAAGGGTCACACTAACTGAGCCATGAAAGATACTATTTAAACTGAAGTGCCAGTTAATTCTTAATCTCCTTTTACATAGATATATAAATATCAGATGAAAGAAGAAAAATAAAAGGAGAAACACACACACACACACACACACACACACACACACACACACACACAACCCACAGTAGTAGAGTCCTCTCAGTCCTGTTGGTATTGTTATCAGAATTCCCCACACATGCACAAATGGAGGGATTTTGTCTTGAAGAAGTTGTGAGTCAGTGAGCTCCAGCCCTCTGTGGATGAGTCTGGGAGCTTGGGTGTTTCCACTGCTGCTGAAACTGGTTCTTGTCCTACAGTTGTTCTCTTGCCTGCCAGTGAGTGAAGAGGCCTGGGGGTCAAATGGATTTCTTTTGTTTCCTCTGCAGGCAGCACTCTGCGTAGTTGTGGTTGCACTCCTGTGGGCATGGCTAGCCAAAGGCTTTTTATCTCTGGATAACCACAACTCTATTCAGAGAAGTACAGTGTGGCTAGTCAAGTACACAGTCTTTTGCTGATTTATGAAGGGACTTTCTCAACCCATGCCCCTTTTCGTCCATGAAAAGCCCTGCAGCTGTTCACCTCTTTTTTCCATACTCCTCTGAGTAACCATGACCCGCAATCTCCATGTTCCTCTCCAGCTGTCCACTGTGCTGGTTTCTATATGCACCTTGTAAAAAGCCGCTGTCCATATTGTGATCTCCAGTGATGCCCAGGGCGCACATAGCTCAGCAAGGTTTGGCTGCTGGTGGGAGGTTTCCCATGCAGGCATGGAGTTCTTTTACATCTGAATGGTGAGTAGGAGGCAGCATACTCCGCAGGCACAGAACTCATTGTTTGTGCAAGCAACGGAAGAGTCTTTTCTTCCTAGCATTACACCTGTCTCAGAATCTGGTTCTGGGTTCATAACCAGGACAGTCCTTTGTTTATTTAAGAAGGAGCAGCTGGTCCTAACTCAGTCAAGGCTTTCTTAATGATTCTCTGGTTTTCAGTTTCTCTAGTGTTCCGATCTACAATATCTTTTCACTAGAACCCCTGTCCCAGTAAGAAGGAAATTAAGACAGGTGGACACTGGATAGTGGTTGCTAGTCTAGTGCCAACTGAAGCAGCCCAGCTCCACTGCAGAACGCAGCTTCTTTTCCCCAGGTGTTAGAGAATCGCGCATTAGGGTATGTGCCAGAGCCTAGCACTACCAAGATTAAGGGGAGCCCGGCTTCGCTTTCTGCACACCCTTGGTGCTGGGATTCCTCAGGTGGACTTCTCCTTCATGTTGCCTTTCCACATTTGGGTCTTTGTTCACTGACCTCCAATCCCTTTACTGAGTTCCTGCAATTTTTAGTGCAAATCATAGCCAAGTCACAAATAGGATGGAGCGGACAAGCACTACTATGTTTCATCAGCCATGATGGGCTTTGATCTATTCTCATTGTTTAAACTTAACCGGGTAGAAACTTTCATGGAGAAAAAGAAGCCATAGTGAAGGAATAAATAGAAATGGGTCCATTGCTTTTGTTCTAAAGTATGTCAGTGCTCTGCCCAACAGTTTCTAGTAAGGAAAGGGTAAGCTTTTCTTTCCTTTGACATTTTTTAAAAGGAAAGATGTATTTATCTATGTCTCTAAATGGTGGTAAACACTCAAATGAACGCATTAGATGAATTTTCACACTTAACTCTCCAACCACTTTTGGTATTGATCGCCACAGTTTGCAGTGAGGTGCCCTGGAAAGAGAGAAAATAGGTCTGGGCAGATTTAGCACAACAGTTGGGTTTTCTCAAACACGTAAGCACACCCTCTAAAGGAATCTTCTGCTGAAACACACTGATATTTTAAAAACATGAACGTGTGCTAGTCCTCCATAGACTTGAGTTTCAACTTCCCTGGGTGCCTGTGTTAAAGTTCCACTATGCAGTGGGGTAAAAAGGCATTTATGACTCTCCCACAGAACAAGTTCTTCTGTTTTACCGCGAAAACGCACTTCATCAAAGAATGACGTATCTCTTCCAGCTGCACACCTTTCTGAAGAATATCCAGTTTGCCAATCCTGCTGGAGAACAGGTGAGTTTGGACGAAGACAGAAAACTGCATACAAAGTTTAACATTCTCAACTTTTGGAATTTTCCAGAAGGCCTTAGACTTAAGGTGAAAGTAGGAGAGTTTTCTCCTCATGTTCCAAATGGGCAGCAGTTGTCTTTATCTCAGATGATACAATGGGGCACAGAAAACACAGAGGTATGTTGGAGCCAATCACTGTATACTTTAGTAAATTTTATAACCAAATGCTGGGTATGAGTTTGGAGTATTCACTGTTGGTCAGAAATGGCCATACGGAGCATTTTATTAGTCTTTTAATGTAAAGAATTTCTGCATTTACCCAGTTTTCTGATGAATTGGAAATAAACACATTTACTTAAGCATGTTTTTACAAACGTTCATATACTAATCAATAAAGAAATCTATGGAATAACATGGTACTGGCTAAAAAACAGACCTGAGGACCAGTGGAGCAGACTGGAAGTAGTCACAACCACAAACACATGCAGCCACCTGATCTTTGACCAAGGAAGTTCACTGGGAGAAAGATAGCCTCTTTCATAAATGGTACTGGGAAAACTGGCTTGCCACCTGCCAAAGACTGAAACTAGACCCATGTCTATCACCATGCAACAAACTCAAGCCAAAATGGATCACAGATCTCAATATTAAAACAGAAACACTAAATCTAGTGGAAGAGAAAGTAGGAAAAAATCTTGAGGGCATGGGGTAGGCAGAGAGGTGAAGAGCAAGAACCAAACTACACATGAAATACTTCGAAGAATCAACAACTGGGATCTTATCTTACTGAAAAGCTTTTGCACATCTAAAGAAATCACCAGCAGAGGAACAAGAAAACATACAAAACAGGAGAAAATTTTAGCTGAATGTCCCTTGGACAAAGGACTTCTATCTAGAGCACATAAAGATTTAAAACACATCACCCCCCCCCCCCCCAAATTCAAAGACCCAATCCAAAAGTGGGCATCTGAGATGAATACACACTTCTCAGATAAAGAAATACAAATGCAAATAAATACATCAGAAAATGTTCAACATCATTAGTCATTCGAGAAATGCAAATTAAAACAACTCTGAGATTTCATCTCATCCCAGTAAGAATGGCTAGCATTAAGAAATCAACCAATAACAAATGCTGCTGAGGCTGTGGAGAAATAGGAACACTTACTTGCTGCAGGTGGGAGTGTAGACTGGTGAAACCACTGTGGAAATCAGTTTGGAGATTCCTCAGTAAAGTAGGACTAGAGGTCCCATTCAACCCAGATATTTCCCTTCAGGGTATTTTCCCAGAAGAACTGAAAACATCATATCACAGCAATATATGTGCACCCATGTTTATAGCAGTGCACTTTGTAATAGCTGAATCATGGAAGCAACCCAAATGCCCATCTTCTGAGGAATGGATAAAAAAATTGTGATATTTTTATATAATGGAATATTACTCAGCTATAAAGAAAGATAAACTCGAGGGTTTTATAGGTAAATGGTCACAACTAGAGATCATTCTCATAAGTGAAATAAATCAGACCCACATATTTAAACACCGTGTTGTTTCACTAGTGTAAGAACTTGAAAGAGTGAATAAAAACTAGGAGGTATGATAAATATTGTGGAAGTTAAGAAAACTGCTATAAAGTAAAGAACAACTGTGATGAGGAAAAAGAGAAAAGAAAGAAGGGGGAAATTATGTATATATGTATACACAGAATAGCTAACATAGTTGTCCTACTGACTTGTATTACTTTATTGAAAGGAACAGTTAATGATTAAGTATTTGATCAATCTTACATGTCCATATTTGTTTTCCTGAGAAACCACTTTGAATATATCAATATGTAATACAACAACCATTGTTAATTTCCTATCACCTTGTCTGAAATTCTGCATTGCTTGTGTTGTTTGTTTGTTATTTTGTAAATGTCTGCGTGTTTGCTAATATGTTTTTGTTCTTTTACCCTGAAAATCAAAAAACAGAAATGTATGGGCTGTGGCCCAGCGTCATAAGTGTCTGCCTGGCAAGTGCAAGGTCCAGAGTTTGATTCCTGGTACCAAAGAAATGTAGCATCTAATCAAATAACTGAGTTTATGTATATACAAATACAGATTATCACTCTAATCATGACGGATGAAGAAAAAGTCTCAGGAAGTTACCGATGCATATCTGATTTTCCCCAGACTCCTTGCTCTGTGTGCACTGAGAGCTGCGATCCTGGATTCTGGAAATCCCCTCAGGAGGAAAAGGCTTCCTGCTGTTTTGATTGCACCATTTGCTCGGAGAATGAGATCGCCAATGACACAGGTAAGAGTGTGCTTCGTGAAAAATCCTCCACCTCTCTTTTGTGTCCTTATCCATTGATAAAATAAAAAGAAATCTGAAAGAAGAGCAAAGGCAAAAAAATTTTTTTTTCTTGCTTTAGTACCACTGTCCCTTTGGAAAATCACATTCTGCCCCTTGAACTATGCACTTTGGTTGTTTTTCTTTCCTTTCTTCTTCGTATTATCTTGGGTTGTTTGTTGTTGCTCTTTATTAGTAGTACCTTTTTGCAGTACATGCAGTTTACAGTCATCTCAGTGAGTGGGTACATGTGCACAATACAGCCTTTTAAAAAATCCTCTTCACTCCCTCCTCCCTTGCTACTCCTCTAAATCGCTTTCTGCCATTTTTACTCTTTTTGATATTAGTCTTAGTTCATATTTATGGCATATACAGTTTACACTCATTGAGGTTCTTAGGATTTGTACACGGCACATCTTTAGTCTGTTTTTCCCTTCCCCTCCCCTCTTTTCTCACCCCCAGTCTCCTGGACCTGTTTACAGTTACAATAGCTCCGTGTCCTTGTCTGCTATCCATGTGCTATTTTCCTCTTTGTTTGTACTTTACCTTACTGAAATGAGAGTACTACTATGTTATGTAAGCTTGTACATCTCCTTTGTTTCAGTCAACAATATATTTTCCAAGAGCATCCATTTTCCCACAAATATTTTGAATGTGTTCTTCTTTATAGCCAACTAATATTCCATTATGTACAGATACCACATTTTCTTTATCTGGTCTTCTATTGATGGTTATACAGGCTGTATTCAGGACTTAGCTATTATGAATTATGCTACTATAAACATTGATATGCATGTGTTACTGTAGTATGATGTCTCTAGCTTTTTGGGTGGGGCAGATGCCTAGGAGAGGAAGAGCTGAGTTATATGGAAGTTCTCACCTTAGTTCTTTCAGAAATCTCCATGCAGATTTTCACAGTGGTTGTTCTACTTTACATTCCTACCAACAGTGTAGAAGGGTTCCTGTTTCAACACAGCCACAACAACATTTTAATTTTTACTTCTTAAAGATGGCTATTCTTTCTGCTGTAAGGTGGAAACTTAGCATTATTTTAATTTGTGTTTCTCCATTGACCAAAGATGATGAACATTATTTCATAAATTTTTTTGCCATTTATATTTCTTTCCCTGAGAAGCATCTTTCACTGCACTTGCCTATTTCTTAATTGGGTCTTTTATTTTAGGTGGTAGGATTATTTTGACTTTTTGTGTATTGTAGATATTAGTTATCTGAGAAATAGCTGGCAAATTTTTTCCCATTTCTGTAAGTTGTCTCTTCACGCTACTGAATGATTACTTTGCTGTGCAGATGTTTTTTAAGTTGATGTAATCTCATTGATTGATTCTTATTGTGATTTCGTGTTCAACTGCAGTTCTGTTCAGGAAATTTTTCTACACCTTTGTTTCCAAGTATTTTACCTATTTTATCTTCCAATAGGTTCAATGTTTCTGTTTTAATGTTTATATCTTTGATCCAATTTGATTTTAGTTTGGTATATGGTGAGAGATATGGGTTGAGTTTCAATCTTCTGAAAAAAATCCAGTTTTCCCAGCACCATGCACTAAACAGGTTATTTTTCCTCCAACGTATGCTTTTGATCCCTTTTAAAAGAACACATAGGTAAATGTGTCTGGGGATGTTTCTGTACCCTCTATTCTGTTCCACTGGCTCATGTATCTATTTTTGCTTCAGTACATACCAGTTTTTAAAACCACAGTTGCTCAGTAGTACAATGTCAAATCAGGTATTATGATGCCTCCTGCTTTGTTCTTGTTGCCCAAGATTGTTTTTGCTATTCTGGGTCTCTTCTGGTTCCATATAAATTTTAAGATTATTTTCCCTATGTCTGTGAATATGCTGTTGGTATTTTGATTGTGGCTGCATTGAATCTGTATAATGGTTTTAGATGTGTGGTACTTTTGACAGAATTGGTCCTGCTTATTCAGAAGCAAGAGACATCTTTCCTTTTGCTGATGTTCTCTACAATCTCCTCCTTAAATATACTGTACTTTTTCTTTATACAGGTCTTCAACTTCATTGGTTAGGTTAATTCTTAGGAATTTCATTTTTCTTGATGCTATCAGAAGTGGTATTATTTTCATAATTTTCTTCTCAATCAGTTCACAATTGGTGTACACAAATGCTCATGATTTCTATGTGTTGGTTTTGTAAATAACAGTTATTTGAGTTCTTCCTCTCCTATATGTATTTGTTTTATTTTTTCCTTGCTTGATTATTCTGGCTAATCTTCTGAGTACCGTATTGAATAGAGGTGGTGTTAGTGGGAATCTTGTCTTGTTCTTGATTTCACAGGGAATTATTTTTGCTCCATTTAACATGATCTTTGCCATTGGTTTGTCATGAAAAGCTGTATCAAATTCAGATGTGGTCCTTTTATACCTATTTTCTTCATGGAAGCTTGGTTTTATCTTGGATTTTCCTAAAGCCTTTCTGCATAGTATGATCATATAGGTTTTGCCCTTGCTTCTGATTATGTGACATTCCAGGGATAAATCGAGGGATGCTCACCCTTGGAACTACATTTTCGAGCCCTTTCACTTTGTTCTTCTGAGATATTGTCTCACTACATTGCCCAGCCTGGCCTCAAACCTGTGACCCACATGCTTCAACTTCCTTAATAGTGAAGATTTCAGATACATACCACCATGGCTGGATTCTTTCATTCATTTTTCTAGATCCACTAGAAAAATTCTTTTTATTCTTTTTTCATGTTAAAGGGAAAAAAACAATAAAAACAATGATACAGAATTTTTAAACAAGTTAATAAGAATTAACAATGGTTAATATATTGTCTAGTGTTTTCTTTAAAGTAGTTGCTCAGATTACAAGATAGAGACATGCAAGTTTGATCAAACAGTATAACTACAAACGATTTCATTCAATGAACTAAAAGAAATTAGTAATATAAGTATCTTATCGATCTTGTGTCTATATATTTTTTTTCTTTTCCCTTCCTTCTTTTCTCTTTTCCCTCATCCCTATTGTTCTTTTGCTTTGGGCAGTTTCTTTCCCTTTCACAAAATTTACTGTTTTTTAAAAAATTTCTTTTAAAAATAAAAGAAGGAAAACATATTAACAGACATTCATTTACAAATAGCATAAGAACAGTACAAACAATACAGAGTTACAGACAAAATGGTAGGAAATTAACAATGGCTGTTGAATTATGTATTGATATCGTCAAAGTGAAATGAATAGAGACATGCAAGATTGATCAAACAAGTAATCATTAACTGTTCTATTCAGCAAAGCAATAGGAGACAGTAGTACAACTATGTTAGCTATCCTGTATATACATACAAACATAATTTCCCCTTCTTTTCCTTTTCTTTTCCCACACCTCAGTTGCACTTTACTTTTGAGCATTTTTCTTTCATTTCACAATGTCTATCATATCTCCTAGTTTTTATTCACTCTTTCAGGTCTTACATTAGTGAGACAACACGTTGCTTACACATGGAGGTCTGGTTTATTTCACTTATGAGTATGGCCTCTAGTTGTGAACATTTACCTATAAAAGCCTCGAATTTATCTTTCTTTATACCTGAGTAATATTCCAGTATATAAAAGTACCACAATTTTTTTTATCCAATCCTTAGTGGATGGACATTTGGGTTGCTTCCACAGTTTAGCAATTACAAATTGTGCTGCTATAAACATGGGTGCACATATATCGCTATGATATGATATTTTCAGATCTTCTGGGAAAATACCCTGAAGGGAAATATCTGGGTTAAATGGGACCTCTAGACCTAGTTTTCTGAGGACTCTCCAAACTGATTTCCACAGTGGTTTCACCAGTCTGCATTCCCACCAGCAGTGGAGAAGGTTTCCTATTTCTCTACAGCCTCAGCAGCATTTGTTATTGGTTGATTTCTTAATGCTAGGTATTCTATTTTTTTTTTTTTATTTTAAAGATAAAAGGAGGGAAACATTAACAGACATACAACATTTTACAACATATCACAAGCACAATACAGACAATACAGAGTTACAAACAAAGTGG